CCCAATTCAGTGATGGCACTGCTTTTCAACGGGGCCCTGTATCACACAGCACAATACAACAATCACATACAAATAACAACATTAGCATACAGAAATTATACAATAAATAATTATAATGGCAATGATAATGATAATAACGAAAACAATAAATAAATTATAATGGCAATGATAATGATAATAACGAAAACAATAAATAAATTATAATGGCAATGATAATAACGAAAACACAGTAATTAACCAATAACAGTAATAAATAGTAATAATAACAAAAATACATCATTGTCCAGTCCAGTCATTGTCATTGTCCAGTCCTATATGTTGGCATGGAGGGGTCAGAGGTCAGGCCAATTCTTACATTTCATTTTAAAAATGGACATGGACGGACAGGTCTTAATAGCAGTTGGCAGCCTGTTCCAGAGGGCAGGGCCTCTGTAGGAGAATTTGCGCTTTCCACATTCAAGGCGAACAAGCGGCAGTTTCAAAGATAGGTTCTGGCTGTGTCTGGTGGGGTATCTGTGGGATTCAGAAGCCATCTGGAAGTTATCTATGTAATCTGGGAGTTCATTGTTGACTGCCTTGTACATTGATTGTAGCAGGTGCAAGTTTCTCCGGGATGATAAAGTTTTCCAACCTAGGGTAGATAACTCACCATCGCCAACATGATGTGTATAACGTAAACGAAGGATAATTCTCGCTGCCCGGTTCTGGTACTTTTGCAATTTGTCAGACAAGCATTTACCACAGTTTCCCCATATCACATCGCAGTAGTCTATTTTAGGTAGGACTATACAGTTAAACAACATTATAAGAGTGTGTTGGGGCAGACATGGGATGAGGCGTCGTATGACTCCCAGTCTGGAAGAGACCGCATTACACAACTTGTCAATGTGAACTTGCCATGTTAAGCTGGAGTCAAGCCAAACGCCAAGGTACTTATAACTGGAAACAACTTCCAAAATGGTGCCAGAAAGGATAACTGACAATTGTTCTGTAACTGACTGCAGCCTACGTGTGGTTCCAAAGAGCATGGCTTTGCATTTATTAACATTGAGAGTCAGTTCATTTGTTTCCAACCATGTCTCAATATTACGAAGATCCGCATTGAGAGCATTGTTTACATCTGTGACTGTCTTGGACGCATAGAAGAGAGCAGTATCATCTGCATACAATACAACATGTCCATTTAATATATAGTCAGGTAAGTCATTAAGGTACATGATGAACAAAAGTGGCCCGAGAACCGAGCCCTGGGGTACTCCCACAGTAACTTCCAGGAAGTCACTCTGGACTCCATTTATGACAGTAGTCTGGTATCTGTCTTTGAGGTAAGAACAGAACCATGTCAATTCCTTGTCTTGTATCCCAAACATTCTAAGCTTAGCCAGGAGGATCTTATGGCTTACCGTATCAAAAGCTTTCTTGAGATCAAGAAAGATTGCTCCGGTAATAAGACCCTTCTCCATATTGTCTATGATGGTAAAGTTAACGTCTTTATAATTTTTATTGTTATGTAAATATTTAAATATGTATAACGATGTGTTGCCTGTTTTTCCCACAGATGACTATCTGGTTGTCGTCCCTGACTGCGACTGCCCTCATCAGTGCTGCACCAGTCATCATCCTGCTCTTCATCCCACTGGAGGCCACATAATATCGCCACCTTGAGAAAAAGTGTGCTTAAAGATACTTTTACTGCAACATACCCTAGGTATGTACATTTGAGGTGTGCAGGAGTGCATACCAAAAGTATGTTGCAGTAAAAATATCTTAAAGCACACTATTTCTCAAGGTGGCAATATTATGGACCCTGGTGATATTATGGACACGGATGTTACATGCATTTCGGACCATCCTTGCAGTGTAGCAGGCCAAAATGTCCCATACCCAAACTGTACCAGGGTATATTATGGACAGGGTTGCAGTCTGGCCTGCTACACCTGTATCATCAATGGCTGTCATGATTTGTAAGCTGGAGGGTATAGGATAACATAGATTTTGTTGTAAACGCTGATTGAATGACTACTCAGAGTATTAAAAGTTTATAGAAGGTTTCCCTGTTGTTGTTGTTGACAGGTCCTGCTGAGTTTTGCCTCAGGTGGTCTGCTGGGAGACGCCTTCCTCCATCTAATCCCTCATGCCACGTCACCACATACCCACGGGGACGAGGACCATGGTCATGGCCATGGTCATTCTCACGGCCACGGTCACTCTCATGGTGGTGATCACGGCCACTCTCACGACATAGGTGTAGGCTTATGGGTAATAGCCGGGATCCTAGCATTCCTCATTGTGGAGAAATTTGTACGTTATGTGAAGGGGGGGCACGGACATTCCCATGGTGCACCAGGGCATACCCATAATGCACCTCCAGAGGAGCAGGGAAGCCCAGAAGAGGAGGAGAAGCCAGAGGCAGAGGAGAAAGAGGGCAGTACTGATGACAAGGAGGAGGAGGGAGAGACTGAGCTGAGAAAAAGGAGAAGCAGTGGGGAGAAAGAAGAGGAAAAGTCGGAGGAGAAGGATATCGATGGAGATGTCCAGAAGGAGGAGGAGGATGAAGGTGACTTATTATTTAAAAGTCTTGTGGGGAAAGATGATTACCAGTTATTGCAGTGGTATTCTCGTCATACCGGGGTACTACTACTAGTACTAGTTGTAAACTAGGTGTGCCTGAGTGTTTATGGCTGGCTTTAATGTTGATTGTTTTGAAATAACAATAACCTGGGTACCATCTGGATTTTGCTCTGCTATGCTAGAAAAAAATCACTACCGGTAACGTAGTGGAACAGAAGCCGGATGGTACTCAGCCTCAGGCTAGAATAAGAATATACAAATTTACTTTGATGAGCTAGTGGCTAAGCTAGCTAGGGTTTGATCCCTGTCAGAAGCTAGACTTTGTGTCCATGGGAAAGGCACTGCAGATTGACGGCCCACTCAATAAGGCTTTTGATCTTTATCTACTTTGACTCACCTTGGGCTGTTTCATTATCCACACACAGATGGTGAAGTACAAGTACAGGACATCAAGATTGCTGGCTACCTGAACCTGGTGGCCGACTTCTCGCACAACTTCACGGACGGGATGGCGATCGGGGCGTCGTTCCTGGTGGGGCGTAGCCTGGGGATCATCACCACCCTCACCATCCTGCTACACGAGGTGCCACACGAGATCGGGGACTTCGCCATCCTCGTGCAATCTGGCTGCTCCAAGAAGAAGGTTAGAGACAAAAATTGTTCTACACTGTGGTCTAGCATATTAGTAGCAGTAGATCTAGACTCGCTCAAGTTGTGGCTCTCACAGAACCACTGGTTTTATTTCCCGAGGTAGGTAACATTAGTAATAATGAATGGAGTGAGCAAAGTTGGGCTAAGTGCCTTTCCCAATGGCACAACATTAGGACCTATTAAGGATTCAAACCCAGAATCTCTAGATTCAACCACACCAATTTAATTTCTTGGTTAACGGATTTTTCTAGAAAAATAATGGAGCGGGCGGGCGAAAAAAAAAATAAAAATAAAAACAGGCCTAGGCATCCTATTATGGGCCAAAATGGTACGATAGGAGCCATGAAGTCAACACACCAGGCTGGTTCAAAATTTTAACAATGAATTTTGAACTTTTAATGATACTACTGCATTGAAAGGTGGTATGACTGTAACAAGTAGTAAGAAAAGGACTGTTTTCAACTGTTCAGGGCAAAATATGAGCATTTTGAAGTTGATTCTGAACTTTTATTTTTATTTGCAAATCAGAAAAAAATGAAGCGGCGAATCCGTTAACCAAGAAATTAAATTGGTGTGGCCTAAGGTCACATTATGTCATAAGATTATAATAATAATAATAATAAAGTTTAAGACAGTTACCATATCATGTTTTGCTATGAAGGTTTACACATATTTATCAGTGAAAGATTTTTTCACAGATGGCATCCACCAATATTGTCTACAAGTAGGCTAGAGTAAACTTGTACGTGTTCATTTGTCATAGTGTGTTTGTTTTGTTTTTCTACACAGGCAATGCTGCTCCAGTTCAGCACAGCCACAGGTGCCATGGCTGGGACTGTGTTTGGCCTCCTAGCAGGCGGAGGTGGCGTTACAGCAACCACCTGGATCCTACCATTCACGGCAGGGGGGTTCATCTACATTGCCACAGTGTCAGTCATTCCAGAACTGTTGGAGGGCTGCTCCAGTATCTGGCAATCCTTCAAGGAGATTGCTGCACTGCTAGTGGGGGTGTACATGATGGTACTGATTGGAGAGTTAGAGGAGATGTAATAATAACCTACAGTATGAAGGAATAGTTCTCAAATTTATGATGCTTACTGTGTTTTTCTTTTGTTTTATGTGACACCAACGTAGCTCATTGGCTCTGAGCCTGGTCAACTTGTATAACTTGTCCCTCATAATTTAGATGTTAATACCAATAGTGTTAATGTTGGTATGATATAAACATTCATTGCAGTAAAACACTATGTATAATATTTCTTGTGCAGTTGTTTATGAAAAAATGGAATTGAGCTGTATGTGTAAGTTGTGTTCAGTCACACATGGGATCTGAGTCATACTGACAAGCTTTTTACTTACGAGTTTTTCACTTTAGTAGAAGTACTTAGTAACTGAAATAAAAGCAGGTTAAAATGTTCATGACACTTGTTTTCAACCTATTCAGTTCTTTATTGAGGAACATGCCTTATTAAGTAGGGTTCAGTTCCAAAAATTGAAGAATGCAATATTTCTTTTCGATAGAAATGTTATGCAGGAGCAAAAGACATAAAGATTATCAAAGACATCTTGTTATTAGTACAATTAGTCATACTTTACTACAACACAATGTATTGTACTTTTGTTTTTGGTTATGACTGCATGTTTTCATCATGGAATGATGTATGTCATTATGCATATGTCTATGATACATGTTTGTTGATGTACACAATAACGTTACATTTCATCTGACAGAAGAAATATCTATGATATTCAAAGATTTTCTGTAAAACAGTGATATAACTGTCACTGCAAAAAGAGTCCACAAAATGTAATTGTTGCACTCTTTCACCTTTGGTATGTCTTTGTAGCATTCCCAATGGCAAATTTGATTTAATAATGCCCAAATAAGGCTCAAGATTTTTTATTATGCCCAACCAGTGTGGAGTACAACTGTTCAGATTATAACCAATCACCATTAAGGACAGGTAGAGATTGGCCAGTAGTAGGTAATGACCAATCACCAATGTGCTGACTTAATGCACATTACAGACTGCCATGGAGGCACCTGGTACATGTACATGGATGTTTAAGTGCAGATTTTTTTTCAGTACAATACAACACCAAGATGATGTGTTTTAAGTGATAGTCAGTCAGCACCAAAGACAACTTAGATTCTTAGTATAAAAACCCTTTACATTCCATGTGGTAATACATGTATATTGTAAATTGACGTATCTTGTAAGCAGTGGCGGTAGTACATTGTGGCAATAAAGGGTCACGGAAAGACAACAGTCAAGATGTCTTCTTTATCCTACATTTATGTGCCTCCTGCATTCACTAAATCATACAAAAATAGGTCAACATTTGTGGGTTCTATTGTTTGCTTAATATGGATATAACGTTATTTCTTTCTTTTCGTCTCTCTGTACTAAATTGTCTCCCGTAATGACATCTCTGATGTCCCCGTTCAAGGTTCAAATTGTGGTATCGTATTGCTTCTTGTGACAACTTCTTTCCTATACTCTTCACCTTCCACCACCATTCCTGTAATAGAAGTTGACATCTTCCAGTCCGTGGACTGCTGCGCTATCGTGGGATGTCAGTGTTGAGCTAGTTTGGCACAGCCAAATTTCTCATTGCAGTAATGACCCCTTTCTGCTCAGCCGAGAACTGCAGCTCGCCCGACCTCTCCATGTTGTTGGTCTGTTTCAGCACCACGGACAGAGCCAGCTGTTCCTGCAATAAACGAATGCTTGTCTTAGCCAACTACTGCATAGTAAAACATCGCGGATTCCTAGAAACGTGATAGCTAGAAACCGTTTACTATGGAAAGACATTGCAATGGTGTATACTACAAACGTTTGGCGTCCAAGAACACTATGATTTTATATCGTATACACACGTACCCTTTCCAATGAGATAGCTGCTGCTACAGCGTCCGTCATATCCCTAGCCGTGCCGACGCTTCTCCTGAGGTAGCGGTCGTGGATTGGGCAGGCATTCAGGACGAACAGCGCCATGGAAAGGGCCCACACACCCCAGCTGGACACCCCCGCCCTAATGGTATAGTCTGTCGAGATCCACGTATCACTACCATCGGTACTAAGACCTAATAAAGGACAAATTGGACATAAAAGGAAGATCATGCACAGAAATAACATAGAAGAGGCATATATCATTAAAAAAAGAATATTTTCCTGTCACAGAAACATTTGCGTCGTAAAAATTTCAGAGCATATGTTTTGAAAACGTTTACCAGTCGTTTTGATCCGCGGCAGTTTGACAGGAAACAGTTGGTCCAAGCTCCGGTCTTCCTGAGCAGATTCTCCGATCCTCACCAGATGGTCGAACTTGAGGTTTGTCGGACCGTTTTCTCCCGTGCTCTTATCAGTACTTGGAATGTCGCATTTTGGGTAGGGTAGAACGGTGAAGGCTTTCTTCAAATATCCTGGAGAATAGGAAAACTGTTGTGTCAAAAGTTCGATGCAGTGTTATTCCTTCGTAACTTTTTTTTCTTGTGGGTAAAATCCTTTAGTCTTTATTTTGATATTTTGCAGAAATCTCTTGACAGTAGATAGCTCTATGTCGATTTTCTAGACATTCTATTATCATCATTACTCACCCACACGCACGAGTTCTCTCGCGATTGTATCCACCAGTTTGGTGCTGTTCTCGTCGGTCACCACAGTAACTTCCTTCCCTAACGCTTGCAACATGGCGGTTACGGCCACAGCGCCCTGGAGCCGCTCACAACGTTCTTGTGGAATGGATTCTGGAAATTTAAAAAAGAAGTATGACACAAAAAATGACCATATGAATAGGAAATAAAAACATAACAATAGTATAGTTTTTTCTTCTTCTTTTTTTGTGGAAACAACATGGTGACAAGAAGAATCGGACGCAGCGTTTGCCCACCTTGTTCAGGGTATGTTGCAACCACCACGGCGACTGAGGACGCATGGGACAGAGACAGGGACGACTTTAACAACGCGCCTTCGTCGTGTGTGTCCGACAAGCACCCATTCTGTGCCTCCCTGGGCGGCAGTACAATCCTCTCCAGCTCGCGGACGCGGCTAACGGCCTTTTCTGATGTCACGCTGTAAAACAGAGGATCCTGGGATATCTGCACAAGGCTAGGGGTGTCGGCCATGTTTGTGTCCTTGACAAAGGTCGTCTTGATGTCACAGAGGAACAGGCAGCCCTTTGTGCCATGCGTGAAGAAACCGATAGACGGAGCTGTTGGGAGATGCAGATTGTTAGAGCAGTTGTCAATGTCGTTGTAAACCTTGTACAATCTAGTGCAGGATGTTGCAGGATTTAAACCAAACTTACCAGCGGACATGACAGCCGGCTCCATGGTGACTCCACATGGCCAGAACACAGGCACGTCTCCTGGTGTGGCCTTCACAACATCACCCCAGTCAACGTTCTCTACGTCACTTATACCTATCATGGCTGGAACGACAACACTAGTAAATTACAAATACAGATGTCATTTTTAGATACCGACGACTCTATTTTTAGATACTTAAAATTCTATCAAGTCGCAAGTTACATCCAATTAAAAGTAGAATTATGTTTATCGAAGGAAACATATTGTTTTTGCTCTGTTTCCTCTTCTTCTTCCTCTCCAAACAGTGGCCTCTGACCTGACTGAACCAGACTGTCTCTCACCATGGTAACTAGTGTTGGATTACATAATGTTGCAATCTTATAGTAGGAGGGATTTAGACTCCTGTCACCATGTATGTGAATGTATTTGAGTAAGAATTAATAGAGCAGGCCATATGCAAAGGTAAACAGTATGCATTTGCTTTGCAAATGTTACCTTTCTAGTTTTACATGTTAGATTTATACCTGGGTCTCCAATGTGGATGGGCGCCCCGTGTGAAGTGGGCGTCCAGTGTGTTACCCGGAAGGCAGTTTCTAATTTGTCCTCTGGTATGTACCTCATGGTCACCACAACTTCACAGTCAAATGAGCTGAAAGGCTGGCAGCGAATACTCGTCTGAAAAAAGGGAACATTTTTACGATCCAGAATTATCCGTACAGATGCACTCTATCACTTTATTCTTCGGTCACCTCTGCTGGATTTTTGCAAACATAATATATATCCTCATTCATATTGTGAAGAATGAAAGCAAATTTCAGTGCAAGAAAATGAATTTGAATTTTATCACTTTGATACCAAAAGCGTCTCTGCTTTACTTAGTTTTATTTACTTATTTGCTGTAGACTAAATGCCATTATCTTATGCGTATATGTTAAGCAGAAATGGTAAGCAGAAATACCCTAAATATGCCGACATCCCGTCTTTGCTCCACGTTCCGTATGGGAACACCCGCCTCTAGAAATGCCCCTTCGAACGAGAAGCTGCAGCCGGTGTAGAAGGTCACCATGTCCTTCAGCTGGTCCGTGTAGGGCAGCAGGGAGCCCGACTCGGGGAGAAGTCTGCCGTTCTTACACACACTGTACACACCGTCCGTTCTGTCACGACATGAAGCGTAACATTCGGATAAACATCGTTCAACTTGTGGAATGATAGTGTCCGATTTACCAGGCTTCGGAAGCGGCTGGAAAGAGTAGAAATTGACCAAATAGACAGATATGCAAGGGTAGTGGGTCCGCTAATATTTCCAAACCGGGGCCCGACCGGGCTGTTTTGATAAACGAAAAATCAACAATTTATACCAATAAGAAACGCAAATAGTTACTATTATCAATTTTTAAAACTTTTTTTTGTGCTTTGTTGTCTTTTATATCATACTTTTCGTTCCATAAGACTTCCCGGCTGTAACCAGGTTTGGTGACCTCAGAATAAGGAGTACATTTGCCGCACTTTCCACCCGCTTTCAAAACCTGGAAGAGGCAAAAAGTTTGCGGAAAGATGCGAAATTATCTTGATGTTAGGTTTGCTTCTAACACGTGCGTGACGTACAAATACGGTACGATCGAAGCGGACACCTGTTAAACATGTACAGGAATGACTCTGAGCTACTACATGTATTTCATCTCACCTGATGTCAGATTCCTCCGCTAGCGGCGGAGCGGTCAACTCGCCAGGTTCAGACCGGTACAGCAGTGGAAAGGCTCCCGGGTTCAGCGAACAAAAGGCCTCGAAGTCGTCAGCCAGGGACTTAGGCAAAATGGTTATATTGGCCTGGGCGTACCCTGTGAAAACGGCAATACATATCGGTGATGAAGTTTTATCGTTGATGCGATTTTAGACAAATTTGCACGATTTTCAACCACGCCGCTGAACTGAGAGATAGCATGGCTAGTTGAAAGATAAACAGGGACAGTTTTCCGCTTGTTAGTGGAGGTTTTTAAACGTCTTTGCCTTCCCCTTAGAAGGACCAATAAATTAAATCCTTGGTATAAACAAAACCTCAAACACGTAGAACTATGTACCAAAGCCGACGTCTGCCTAAACCTTACAATGTTGGGTAAAAGACATAGAAAATATAGCTACGGTATAATATCTTTAATATTAGCCAGATAGGTGATAAATAAAGTCTAGATGGCCTTTCGAAACGCAATGAGTAGAGCTTGACAAAAGAGCCCTCACCAGAACACATTCCCGACGTCGACCTTCCCCGCAGCTCCCCTGTCCGGATGAGACGCCGGACGTCCCGCGGGTGCCAGGTGGCAAACGTCTCATCGTCCCACCGCGACATCGGTACTTCACACGCTGCAGATGCGATGGTACTTCGATCGTTGTAACGTAAGCCTCCGCTGCGCCGCGTGCCTGTAAAGTAGTGGTTGAACAATATATACAGATCTACTACTGTAACAATCCTTCCCAAGTAAGTTAACATTCGACTTCAATATTTAGTCAAAATATCACCATACTCATTGCATTTTGGCACTATTTTTTTCAGCCAGCAAAATCACATTCAGATTTCATAAAATATTTGCCTTGAATGTGCAACGGACAAGCAAAAAAACTGACTTGTCTGTCCCAGACGACGATGATGTAAACTATTGAGAATATTAACGACACATTAATTCATATATTCTACTTTAAGATCAAAACTGACGTTAGGAGAATGACTTATCAGTTGTCTGTAGTTTTTTTATGTACACTTCTAGGTTTGTTTGACAGGAGGGTTCGTGCGACAATGAAGGATCAGGCAATCTTTGTATAGCTTTTCCCATTTATTATTGAAACAACAATTTCCCTTCATTATGCAAATCACATGCTTAATTGTCAAATATTATCTAACAGTAATTTAGTGTTTATCCATTAATTACGAGTGACCATCGGCATTTTTCATATTTATTGTTTATTTACTGTTTGAAGTCCCAAGTACACATACATTTGTAGTTATGGATATATGCTTGGGATAAAAGAAAATGAGGTCCCTATAGGTATATGATTAAAGGTATATAATTCGTTCGTTCATGTACTTTCTTTTACAAAGGACTACGTACACACCAATACCCACCACCTACTGAAAAGTAATGAAATATCGTGCTTATACAAATCTACACCAATGTGGCATTACACATATGTCTCTCTTTCTACACTACTATGGCGAGAAACCACATCCTTCCCGTTCAACATTTGTTTTGCAGCATCCTCTTGGACTTCACTATTCTCTTCTAAACTGTCAAACTTAAGTTCTTTTTTTAGTCTTTCTTTTCTCATTGCCTTCCTCCACGTCACCACTGACACTAATACGATGGTAAATACAATCATGCACGCCCCTATAAGCTCCAGTACTGAAGGCTTGATGTCAAAGATCAGGTACTGTAGCAGAAAGGCCAGAGCAATAGTCACTCCTTGTAACATCTCGACCACTATGGCCTTCTCCTCAAGTAAGCTTATACACAAGCAGTAAGCTGACGACACATATACTAACCCTTGTCCTGCAAGGTACAGTGCTATGTTGTACTCCAGTTCCCACTTTGGAGTGACCAAGGCGTACATGATAGGTACAAGAAATACAGACCCTATCCCTTCTGTAAACGCTAAACAGGTTGGTCGGGGCAGCCTCTGTAACAAAGACCTGTACATGACGTTGACAAAGCAAAATCCAATCGGTCCTACGAAGGCTAGGACGTTCCCAACGAGGTAGGATGTTTCTTGACTTGCTGGAGTCATAGCTGTTGTGTTTGTCGAATTATTGTAGGCATCGTAGTAGACAGGGAAGGTTGTGTTAGACTGGGAATTCGACGTCGCGTTGTTTAATTGTGAAAATATGAGGGAGTGGCCATTTGTCTGTGTGATGTTCACAGGATTGAAGAGCACGCTTTTGTCGTTGTCGTTGTTCCTATCTCCAGGGACGCCGCCTGTATAAAAGAAAAAGAGGAAATATATGAGATTTCAGACTTCCAGGAAGTATGCAATCCTGGACTTCCTGAATTCCCCCCATGTCAATCCCTAATTCTTGCTGGCTCGTGGCCAGATTCTGAGATCTTCGATCTTCGTCATTCTGCCTGTCAATCTCCCCCATCCACGAGTTGCAAACATATACACAAACACACAACTCAGTCACCTAAATAAATACTTCCGTTCTGTAACATAACTTCCGCAGTTCCGACACTATCAAATCTACATGTATGCAATCTGTTCGTGAAGAAAAGATCCTCGAATCTCAAACAAACACTACTAGGAAATTATGAACCACGATGACTGTTTGTCTAGCCTGTATGCTCTCTTACCGGCAACGATTAGACCAATGGCAGCGATCCTGATGACCACGCCCACCAGCACGACGCGGCCGGGCGGTTCCTTTATGAGTCGCCAGGCGACCAGTGACGTCACGATCGGGCTTATGGCTCCACGACCAATGGCGAAGGTGTTACCTAGGTTACAAAAAACTGCATTTGATTGGCAGCCAGAATCAACGGTATATACGCTCTGTTACTTGAAATACAAGATCTAGATCCATACTGAAAGTTATGTTTGGGAACAGTACAAACAATAGGATTATACAACTTTTAGAATGTTAAAGATCAAATTAAGAGAAATGTGAGGAGATAGCTGGTGGTCTTACCTGGTGGGATGAGCAGAGCGGAGACGAGCACAGAGCTCGTACACAGAACCCGGATCAGCCCACATGACAACAGCTGGGCCAAAGTTTGCCAGCTGTACATGTGCCAGGGACCGTCATGTGCACAGCTACCATCTCTGTAGCTAGAAAAGTACAATCAAACATTCAAGCCCAGCAATATATAAGAAAATGTGCCAAAAGGAAAACCAACAACATGCGATTATAAGTGTACGTATCCTCTCATGTTACGCCCGCCGCCGAATGGTCAAGCAGGCCTGATCCATCCTTCCGGTTGGTTAGCGCTGATCTGACGTCAGCCAATCAAAAACTCTCCCTCCTGTTCTCGGAGGGAAAGTTATCAGCCAATCACGCTGTCTCTTGACCGCAGGTGGCAACGTGATTGGCTGCTGACGGCTGACCATCGAGAAGGACGAATCGAACGCGAAGAATCAGATCTCTAAAATTATCTCTAAAATTATAAATTAGCAATAATATTAATTTGTATTTTGTCTAGGACCTTGCTACTTTCTAAAAATGATGCAACAATGGACTCAACTCTTTGCTAAACTCCTTGAGGTGAATTTTGAAAGTACAGGCCAAAGCCCGTGACCAGCTTTAATTTAGTAATTAGCCATGTCTGAACACGTAGCACGTAGACTGAATTGTGTTTACGCTCATGCAGCTGAACTAACTTTGTACTTGAGCACGTATATAATTCACTGAACTAAACATACATGAAGTTGAAGGTAGATGCCAGTGACCAGCTTTAGTAACCATGCCTAGTCGTGTAATAAAAAGGATGAATGGTGTTGACGCTCAGCTGAACTAATTCTGTCACTAGCGCACGTATGCAATCTAATAAACTAAACACACATCAAGTCTGGGGTGTAGTACGTAAAACAGTGTCAAGGACATTTTTGTCCGTAGTACAGCAGGTGCCCTGTCGATCACTGCGCGGTTTTTAGAGACCCTTCGATGTTTGCTGGTCACCGAGCCTTGTTCAACCTTACACTAGTAACAGGTTAAAATATACAATGCGAAAAAAATACGCTAGACTTTCTGTGTCAGGGACATTTTCGTCCGGAGCACGGCAGGTGTCCTGTCGATCACTGCGCGGTTTTTAGGGACCGGTCGATTCTGCCAGACACCGAGCCTCGTTCAACCTAACAGGGTAAAATATACCATGCGAAAAAAAATACGCTAGACTTTCTGGCGATGCTGACCTTAGCTAACCTAACTCCTGGCGACCAACAAGTTCGGCCAAAGGCCATCGACAGTGGGCAAGGTGCCAATAATATTTACGTAGAACCAGTGGGCGTTAATGAATAATTTCAGCACCAACTTTCAAGGCCAATTAAGGGTAGGCTAACCTATATGTATGCCTTCTCTCTGAATCACCTCAAAGATTTTACTCGTAAGTATGAAACTATAGTTACGCTACAGTGTATGTACAGACAGATGCCTGCCTCGCACAGACATTACTGAACTCTTCCCGTGGAGGTCAATCTAAATTGGGCGACGATCGCTCCTCTGGAAAGGAGTCGCGTCACAACAACAACGACGCGTATAGTAGCAGTGGTAGGGAAAGGCCTGTAATAATGGTCACTATGTCGTAGTACAGAAAACGAATTTCTCTCCCGATATCACTAGGTTAGTATTGATGACCCGGATACATTCGTCAAAAGATGGGTTTGCACGTGTTGACGTGTGGACAGCAGTAAAAATGAGGCTTCTTGCAACGAAAGTCTCTTATAATCTCCAGCCATTTCAATCAAAATGGTACAAATACGCATATACAATATACTTTACTCCTGAATTGCGTTGATCTTACAAAAATACACACACAGAGCAAGTAAAATACAAAAACTGGGCAGTCTGCATTTGTACAACAGACGGATTGTGTAGTGGAGAAACGAGCTGTACAGTATCGGTCCTAGCGAAGACACTGATTTCGAAAAAAAAGCCTGTGTATTCTTTTCGACGGTAGATTCTGTTATAGCTCTACTGCCTGACTATCACCAGGAAACTTGTTTGACGAATGTGGCCGCGTGCCTTGTGGGAGAGAGTTTAAAGACAGAGTTCTGCAATACGTACCAGAAAATGAGAGCCAGCGGGACGAACGCCACAGTCGTCGAGATTTCGTTCACTGCGACGAGCTGCACGGCGGGGACTCCTGCCTCCGCGACCCGCCGGGACAGTAACGCCGCCACGGTATACCCGACTGCCGCCGCGACGGCCGAGAACAGACCCTTACTGTGACACTTCATCTTGAGACGGTTAGGTTAGAATGCTTGTTCAGACCGCGATGTGTGCCAAAGGTTATCAAACTCACGTAACTCAACTTCATTTCAGTAGAACTCCAAATAGGTTCAGATCAACAAAGTCAATAAAGTCATGGGGTCAGTAATTGGCCAAGGGACTGGGCCATTTTTAACAGGGTAATATTTCCCTTTCGTGGCTGGTGTAACGCACATAGTATGGTATTTTCTAGTTAATGGTATTGATATAACTTTCGGGACTCGGGATTTCTTAAATTAAGGGTGGCCTAGAAACGCAGACAAGTTGTTCATCTGGTTTACGGATATTTACATTTCTAAACTATCTCATTAAACGCCGCGAGGTCTACAATGTTCATAACTTATCAAGATCTAGTGATGCTACCAAGGACGGCACAGGAGCTCAAAAAATATATGTTTGTGTGTTTATTTGGTATGCAGGTTTGGGCAAAAAATATGATTGTGCTGTGGGCCTCTAGCGACTTTCTATGGTACTACAACAGGATTTCCGATTTTGAGACATACTGTGGTCATGATTTTTCAAATGTTGATAGCTCTCGCGCTCGTGAAGAAATGACATAGGTTTGGACCACGGTAGTTTATTTTTGGAACTTAAGGAGCCGATTGTGTTTGAAACTTTGAGTGAGAAAAAGTCAAGAAGGGGCGGACGGATCACATGACTTTTGGTACATGTAGAGAGCTTAAGCAATGATTGTCAAGATTCTATTATAACTATGAAAATCAGAATTAGAAGTACTTGATGATATGATTTTATAAACACGGTGCATTCTATGATAGGCCTTCCTCATCAATCATGCAAATGAATATATATTATGCAAAATATTGATATACAAAAAATGTATTATAAAACCACAGTGGTCAATGACGTGAATTTCATACTTGAAGCATTTGGAAGTTAACCAACAAAAGTTGATATAAATAAAGAAAATCAGGTTCTCATTAAAAACAAAATATGCTATAAACTATGAATAAACAATCGAAGAACAGTTGTAAAGAATAACATCATTGTGAGCAAGCTAAGAGACCGTGGAACTCTAGTTGAGCCTTGGTGGAAGCAGCTGCGCATACTTACTAAACTAACATCAAGTGACATGTAGTCGCATTAGATCTACATGTAATATTAGCCTGTGTTATACAGCCTCTCGCTTCCAAGGGCACACACATGCCCCTCCCCGAGTAGTGGGCCGATCAGTAGGGCGGACCGCTACGTACAATCGCGAGTAAGTCAAGGCTAGATCCGTATATAGGTCTATAGTAACAACACCTACCAACGTTAGATAGCTCATTTGTGTATGATGTAATAAGATATAAGCCAAGCCTTTGTACATCACCTGGACGTTTGCAGGTAACAGGTGTCACAGGTAGAGCCGCTACCTCCGCAAAACAGCGCACCGTGACTGTCCCGTGTGTAAACATGCACCACGGACCCCTGGATGACCCGTGGGTGTTGATTTGGGCTATCCCACATTACC